GGATGATTTTGACTATGTTTTGTTTGCCACATCAGGGCAGATGAAATGTTTTGGTTGTGGGCAGGAGGGCCACATCATAAAGATGTGCCCTGATAAGGCAGAACTGGCCAAGCCGGACTCGGAAAAGCAGCAGCCTGTTGCCGCTGAGCAGGGTAAAAAAAACAAATAGTGAGGAGGATGTTGTGGAGGGAGACACTGCTAATGTTGCGGCGGGAACCCGCCGCTGCTGCCGCTGCGGGGGAACCAGCGGTGGTAGAGGAGGATGTGACAGGAAACATTGTTAAAGAGGCGGTGGAGGACGGTGGTAATGGTGCGAGTATAGGAGAGGATGAGAGCACGGTGGTGTGTGGTGATGGGCTGAATGGTGGTGTGGGTGGAAGTGTAGGGAAGGAGAGTGATGGTGTGCAGAGAACAGGAGGATGTGAGGGGTGATGAGGAGCATCGAGTGTGTGGAGATCAGAGCGAGGGGGGAGAGGTTCAGGGGGAGAAACAGGTACAAAAAAGACGGTGTGGAGTCGTTTATAGTGGCTGGAGTGGAGGGAGAAACAGGTGAGGTGGAGGAGGAAATGGAGCTGGAAGCTTGTGTCCCGGTGAAACGGCGCAGCAAGAGGAAAAATGTGGTGGCTGCTGTGCAGGCCAGTAAGAAGGAAAGTAAGTCGGTTGTGGAGAAGAGAGAGGTATCGGACAGCAGTGATGAAGAGAGTTATTTCTCAGATACCAGTGAAGCTTCCGTATCTCAGACGAGTAGAGAACCGAGATACCCGGTTGAAACATTTAGAACCTTTTTAAAACAAACAAAAGGTCTCAGAGGGATAAAACTTGAGAGCTATTTCCCAATTTAAGACTTTTCTATTTTTCCGCAAGGCATCACATTAGACATAAAGAGGACTCAGGTTTCACAGACACAGAAATTTTTAGGTTAAAGAAAATAATGTCTAAAGCCAGAAAACAATTTTTATGATGTACAGTAGTTTTTTAATATCTATTTTAATGTTTCGGTGTGTTTGTTTTAGCCTTTTACCTAAGATGGATTCATTTAAAATAGCATCCTTGAATCTAAATGGGGGGAGGGAGGCTGAAAAACGGGCATTGATTTATCAGATGATGAAACAAAAGAAAATTGATATCGTCTATCTACAGGAGACACATAGTGATTGTACAATAGAAACAGACTGGGGCAAGGAGTGGGAGGGAGAGGTGATTTTAAGTCATGGCACCTCCAAGAGTGCAGGGGTGTTTTCTTTTTTCAAAAGCTTTCACCCCACTTTCTATAGAAATTGAACATGTGGTGCAGGGAGATGTCTTTAGTAAAGACAAAATTTGATTGTTTAAACATGTTTTTTATTAATATCTATGCTCCGATAGCCAATGCAGAGAAGAAATGTTTTTATGAGAAAATTGGGGAGAGGCTGGGTGATTGCGGGACCGAGAATTATGTTTTTATAGGTGGGGATTTTAATTGTACTGAGAACGAGTTTTTAGATCGCAATCACGCAGAGCCACATCCGGCGGCCCAACGGGTCTTGAAGCAACTGGTCTCGTCTCATGGCCTGGTGGACGTATGGAGGAGGATGCATGCAGGCGCCAGCAGTATACATGGTCCCACATTGTTGATAGTAAAATCTCTTTAGCTCGTTTAGATCGTTTTATTGTTTTAAACACCATTTTAACGTGTTTAAAACATGCCAGATTTTACCAGTGGCTTTTACAGACCATTCGTTGCTTTTAGTGTTTTTTATCAGAAACATTTTACCTAGAAGCGCGTACTGGCATTTTAATTCTGCTTTAACTTATGATCAGAGCTTTAAGGAGGTTTTAACTTATTTTTGGACTGGTTTTAGGGAAAGGAAAGCTGATTTTAGCTCTCTTAGACAGTGGTGGGACTATGGAAAGGTTCAAATAAAACTGCTGAGTCAACAGCACACTGTCAATGTCACTCGTGACATTGCCGGATCTATCAGAGTCTGGAGATGAGTATAGTGGAATTAGAACGACTTAGTGACTCCACAGGAAATCGAGAGTATTTTGAAGCTCTCAAATCTAAAAAGCTAACTTTAGCAAACCTGCTGGAAAATAAAGTCCAAGGCGCATTGGTCAGATCCCGGATACAGGACATCACAGAGATGGATGCTCCCTCTGGCTTTTTCTTCAGCTGGAGAGGAAACACGGACAGAGGAAAATGATCCACTCCTTGCTGTCGGACACGGGCAGCATTTGAGCGAACCGGGGCAGATAAGGAGGGGGCTGTGGAATTTTACCGTTCTCTGTTCCGCAGCGAACACAGAGAGAACGACGAACTGTTGGAGGAGTTCTGTGAGGAACTACCTCAGGTCTCTGCGGAGACCAACCTGGAGTTGGAACGGCCTCTGAGCCTGCAGGAACTACACACAGCCCTCCTTGGCATGAAGGGTCGGAAGTCTCCAGGCGTTTGACGGGCTCACGGTCGAGTTCTACAAGGCCTATTGGGAGCTTCTGGCCCAAGACGTGCTCGACGTATTCAACGAGAGTCTGTCTACCGGTTCGCTCCCCTTGTCTTGCCGCAGGGCAGTTATCACCCTGCTGCCTAAGAAGGGAAACTTGCAAGAGATTAAGAACTGGCGCCCCGTGTCCCTCCTTTGTACAGATTATAAAATCCTCTCCAAGGCCCTGGCCACTAGGCTAGGGAAAGCCATGGAGCAGGTCATCCACCGGGATCAGACCTATTGCGTCCCGGCAGGTCCATGGTGGACAATGTCTACCTAATTCGGGATATTTTGGAAGTCTCCGGTTCATTGGGTCTACAGACAGGCTTGATTTCATTAGATCAAGAAAAGGCTTTTGACCGCGTTGAACACGACTTCCTCTGGAAGTAATGAGGAGGTTTGGGTTCAGCGAGGGTCTTATCGCCAAGATCCAGGTGTTGTACGGTGACATTGAGAGTGTGCTGAAGATCAATGGCAGCCTGTGTGCTCCTTTTAGAGTGTGTAGAGGCGTTCGACAGGGCTGCGCGCTCTCGGGAATGCTCTATGCACTCTCCCTGGAACCCTTTTAAAGAAGATGCGATCAGACATTCACGGCTTGGTTTTACCCGGTTTTAAAGACAAATTGGTTTTATCTGCCTATGCTGACGATCTCGTGGTTTTTATTAAAGATCAAAGAGACGTCAGCGTTTTAACAGAAATCGTAAGAAAGTTCTCCATGCTGTCTGCCGCCAAAGTAAATTGGGAAAAAGTGAAGCCCTGGCTGTTGGCGAGTGGCCCGACGGACTCCCGGCTCTCCCAAAGGCATGACCTGGAGAAAAGATGGCCTAAAATATCTAGGCGTGTATTTAGGCGAGAAAAGTTTTGTTGAAAAAAACTGGGAAAACCTAGAACAAAAAATATCAAACAAACTTGCGAACTGGAAATGGTTGCATGAAAAAATGTCGTACAGAGGAAGAGTGTTAGTGCTTAATAATCTGGTCGCATCACAACTCTGGCACAAGCTCATTGTACTAGATCCACCGTCAGGGCTGCTGGCAAGAATACAGACGGAAATGGTTAATTTTTCTGGAACAATCGTCACTGGGTGCCACAGTCGGTGTTGTTTTTATCCAGAGAAGAGGGGGGCCAGGGCCTTGTCCACCTGGGCAGTAGAGTCACTGTGTTTAGGATACAGTTTTTACAAAAGTACCTGATAGGATCTCCTGTGTGGAAGGATGTAGCCAGTTGCATTCTAAGACGCGTGAATTCCTTGGGATTGGATGCTGCTCTGTTTTTAACAAATTTTAGTCTTCTAAGGTTTAAAGGAACTCCGCAATTTTATCAGAGCGTTTTTAAATCATGTGCTCTTTTTAGATTGCGTAGAGCGGAAATGACTGATTCTCTGCATTGGCTATTAGAAGAACCCTTGGTGTACGGAGCAAGACTGGATGTTGAAGAGGACACGTTCCTGGGGCTAACAGAGACGCTGTCTAGAGCCGGAATGGTGACCTTAAAGAGGCTGATTCGAGCGTCAGGAGCAGACTTTGGCGATGCCCAGAAGGTCGCTGCCGCACTGAAAGTAAGGTCTACAAGAATGATGGAACGTGTCCTGATGAGAATAAGAGAAAGATTGACTGGAAAAGAGAAGAGTTTATTGCAGGCATACAAGGATGGAGAATGCCTGCCAAAAGAAACAGATCCTTTTCCTAAGGTTCTTCTGAGTCCAAGCTTTGAAGAGGACAGCGGTCCTCTGCTAAAGACCATGGACTCAGAAATGGATTTGTGCAAAGTGGCACCAAAGACTTTATATAAAAACTGTGTGAAAATCCTAAACAAGAGAACGCTTCGAAAGAGGGACGTCAGCGTGTGGGTTGAAAGACTGAAAGGACAACCAATCCACTGGAGGACAATGTACAAACCGCCGATTAGAAAAAAGATTGGCGACCTCCAGTGGAGGATACTTCATGGCGCTATAGCCACCAACGCATTTTTATCGGTGATTAGTCCTGGTTTTATAAATGAGTGTCCATTTTGTAGGTTGCAGAGAGTGTTTTTCATGTTTTTATAGATTGCACACGTTTGATAGTCTTTTTTAGTTTTTTATCGACTGTTTTTAGTCTTTTTAAAATGATTTTTACCGATGCACTATTTATTAACGGAGTACGTCATAGTAAAGCGACTAGTTTTAAGTCAAGGCTTTTAAATTATTTATTAGCCGAGGCAAAATTAGCTATATATATAACTCGAAGAGACAAGATGCAGGATGGACCTCAAGTTGATGTTGTGGCTCTGTGGAAGGTAAACATCAAGGCGAGGCTGAAGTTGGAGTTTGCTTTCCACAGAGCCACTGGGAATGTGCAGGGGTTTTTAGAGTTATGGGGATGTGACAAAGTGTTGTGCATCATTTCAGAAAATAATGAACTAATTTATACTGATGTTTTATTATAATGTATTTGTTTTGACATAGGATTATTGTAAAACAACAAAAAAGGAAATTGTTTTATTATTATTGTAAATAAATGTTTTGGTAAAAATCAAATCTTCTTCTTCTTCTTCTTCGCTCCGTTGGTGCCTTCTGAGAGCGGGGATGGGCAGCATCCTGCAGGAGCGGGTAGCGCGGCGCTGCGTGGAGAGGCTCTGCATCGGTGACGGGGAGTGGAAGAAGAAAGCTCCGAGAAGCAGCAGCAGCAGCAGCAGCAGGCCCAATGTGGCCGGGTGGGTTCCTGATACCGTCGTTGTTATTGTTGTTATGCTGAGCAGCAGCAGGAGGCTGAGGAGGAGACCTGCCGTCTGCTGCCGTCCTGTCATGGCAGGACCTGACAGATTCTGGATGCCAGCAGAAAAACACGGATGACGGCCATGTTTGTTTGTTTATTTATTAATTTTCTTCTGGTGTTTGTGGAACTGGGATCTAACCATTCATTTGGTCTGGTGCTGTGTGATTTTGAAGGGCTAAGATGGGGAGGAGGCAGTCACAGAGAAGGTTCCCCCAGCAGCACAGCCCGATCCAGAACCAGGAGAAGACCCAGGAGAGGGTGGGTCACTGCTGACAGCAATAACAACATGGAAAGTTGCACGATTTATAGGAAAAACAAAGACTTCCGGACATGTGCACGCAAGTGACAAAAGGGTACATTTCCGACAAAAATACTCAGGAAATGCTGAGAATAAGCTCAGAAATTCTCTACAAGCAAACAAAAAGGAACAAAGACATTTTACGAATTTGCGAAAACAAACAAACAAACAAACAAAACAGAAATGTTGAGATTGATCTCAAAGACAAATCGGACAGTGAGCGAACATTTCCCATTTTTGGAAATTCTCTGGGTTTCAAAAATCGAAAATTTAAAACTCTTCAAATTTTTGACTTTTGAAGCTCGGAAAATTACTTTGGTTTTTTTGTTTGTTTTTTTTGGGGAAATTTCAGGCAACAATCAGAAAATTTCAGAGTTTGTTTTGTTGGAAATGTGCTCCTTCTTTTCCTCTTTTCTTGAAACTCTTCCATGTCAACAAACTGAAGATAAACTAACGTCAGAACTCTGATGCTGAAAGATCTGCACTCTTGGTACTTCTAGTTGAATGGATTCTGAACAGAGCAGGTTCACCCTGTGTAGACTGGGACCAGTTCAGGGTGAACTCTGACCTCTCCAGGAAGAACTCTGCCTCTTGGATAATTTCTCAGGCAGAGGAAGGCAAATGGATGAAATGATGAAAAATCATGGTGCTGACGTTTGGGCTTTTGTTTCACTCTGGTCCGTCTTTCAGATGTTGGGCTAACTGGCCACTGTAACTTTTCCATAGTGTTCAGAAGAAACATGTTGGTCCATTTAAAGGTTACTTCAAACCTAAATATGTCAGCAGCTCAAGTAATTTTGGTCTTTTCTGTATATTCACAGAGAAGGAAACACAAGTCTAACTCTTCCTCGACCAAATGCGGCGCTCCGCAGCACAGGTGAGGCGATGGTTGGGTTATATTTTGTTATTCTGCATTTGCCCGTTTAGATGATCAGCCTTCCTGTTTCTGCCAGCGCTCAGGGAACCTCCGTGTTTCATCCAGCGACCCCTGATGAAGACAGGATGAAAGTCAAGGTGTCATCAGCCAGTGAGAACAGGAAGCAGACGCACACAGGGCGGAGGGCGAGCAAACGCACAGCAGCCCTCCCGGACCACTCCCTGCCCCGTCCCAGTCCTGACCAGCAGGAGCAGCTCTCCCCCCAGGAGGACAGTGACACTGACTTGTCAGAGTCAGAAAGACTCCCCCTGTCCTGCCGTCCCCTCGCCCCACGCCTGGAGCTCAGGCCCGAGGTGGTGGAGGACGGAGACGCCCCGACTCACTGCCGGACGGTCAGAGGACGGGACTTCCCAGACTGCCTCCCTCCACCGTTCAATTCGTGGAGCCTCAGTCAGCTGGCTGTTTTCTACAACACGGAGGGCAGAGGGGTCTTCCGACCCCGGCCTGTGGGCCCCTTGGAGCGCTACCTGGAGAGGTTGCTGCAGCTGGAGTGGTATCAGATCCAGACGGTTCAGGTAGAGCATGGGACACAGGATGTACCAGGAGGGACGTCCGGGTGCCAGAGGTCCAGCGCTGCGGCTCCGGCCCGGGCCCCGACTCGCCTCAGCTCTCCCAAATGCATCCTGCAGTGCCAGCGCGCCTTCCCCCTCTCCTTCCTGTCCTCACTAGCCGGACACTCCGCCCTGCTGGCCGGCGGTACCAGTGGTCTATGCCGGATCTGCTCCTCCAGCTGTAGCACATCGTGCTACCGCTCCACCCACAGCCACAACCATCTGTCCAGACTGAGTCCGGATGGGAGCAGAGGGCCCCTGCCGCGCCCCAAAAGGAGCTACAGTGAGAGCCGGGTCCACTCCTCAGACAGGAGGCTCAGAACCCAGAGGTCCGGCAGCCCAACTAGCTCCAGCAACTACCTGAGGAGGATGCAGGCTTCAGGAAACATCCGGAATCCCATCCAGGCTGGTCCAGGAAGGTCCCATTCCTCTGCTAGGGGCCGTGATGAGCCAGACTGGACAGCGGAAGTCCTAAGGAAGAGGAGCGGCTCCGAACAAAGGAGAGGTGGAGGGAGGCGCGTGAACAGATCAGAGACGAGCCGGAGCAGTTCTGAGGGCAGAACAGGAGGAGAAGAGCGGGACGAAGCTCCCGGCTGGGCGGCACAGGAAGTCACTGGAATCAGTGTTGGTTTACCCCGGTCCAGACATCCCCCTGTCCACAGGCGGAGCAGGTCCAAACAGGTTGAATTTGTTACATGACAGCTCACACACTGCCATCAATCAGAGACCTGATCATCACCAGATGATCAACATGTCTGTGTTTCAGCTGCAGAAATGATTTAATGACTCATTTTCAGCATCATCACAAACACAACGTGGTGTTTGTTGAATGTTTACATGAACATCAGCGGAATACGGAGGTGCTAAAGGCCTAGCTGTTCTTTTTTTAAAAGATGTTTTTATCCATAAGCTACACTGCCTTACAAAAGTATTCATACCTCCAGAAGTGTTTTATATTTTGTCGCATGAGCAACATGTTTCTTTGTCACTCAACACAAAGCAGGGACGATTTCTTTGGGTTTTTTTTTAATCAAGGCATAAATCTAAACCCCAATAAATGAATTATAAATATATATATATATTCACATTCATGTGTATGTGTATGTATGTATGTATGTGTATATGGCAATTTTGAATGTTTTGTTTCACTGCCGTTTCCAATAGTATGAATTGGAAGCCTGACCTTGCATTCAGGCAAGGTCTGTTTGATAAAAGCCTTTTCATTAAGCCCTCATTTCTGTACTGAAACATTTTTATTGGCCTGGCATCATATTCTAATCTTGAATGTCATGTTTTCAACAGTTATAGGCTGAAAATCTTCTTAACTAAGAGAAATAAAGGTCGGAAAATATCTATTTGGAATGAATCTATATAATATGTTTCACTTTGTGAACAGAGTTGCTGAAATAAATGAACTTGAATAATGTTCCAGTTTATTAAATACGGTTCTATGTTCATTTGTTGTCGTGAGGTTACGGCTCCACCCTCCTGGCCAGTAGATGGCCAGTAGATGGCGGTAATGAGCCTCTGATTGCCGAACGCCAAGTGTTTGACAGTGGAGCGGCGTTAATAGTTTCAGGCCGGACGTATTTTTGGAGCTACACCGCCAACATGGACGCTGGTTCTCAGCGTGTTTTACAGTATTTAACAGAAGTTGAAGAGGCAGCTGAGGATGTTCTCACTACTAAACAGCAGGTACCCGAAACGCGAGGAGATACAACGAGCGTTCGTTCATCACAGAGGACAGAAGTCGACTCGTTTCTGCTAGTCGTTTTAGCTAAGCTAACAACCTGCACTAATAACCTGACAATCTTCAGGATTAGCACCTTTATAAAAGCAGAAAAGCAGGATCTTTACAGTTCCGATGTCAAGTAGGAAAGACATCGGCAGTGACACTGCTGTCAACACCTTTCACCTGTATTGTTTTTCAATTTTAGCTTAAAATACAGAAAGGTTCCAGGTGAACCTCGGTGTGTCTTTGTTAGATATCATTCTGGACAGATCAGTTAAAGACGCTGAACCTGGATGACTGGACGCTTTTTGCAGGACCAAGCTCCGGGCCAGGCAGCAGGGACACGTGTCTGTTTTTGGGACTATTGAGACCAAAGTGGGAGCATTTGACATGACTGGAAAACGCCGTGGATTCCACTGTATATACATGATTTCTGAGTGAAAATGACGATTCATGTTTCAGATCGTAGACCTGGACATGAAGAGGAACAGCAACAGGGAGGCGCTGAGGGCCCTGAGACATGACATGGCAGACACAGGTCAGTCACTGTCCTTTACACACTCTTGACTCAGCCAGAGTATAAACATTATGTATGCTCCAGAATAGATGATTGTATTTACAGTGATGTCTATCTGCTGTTGTTTGCAGAAAAAGTCAAGTTGTGCTTTGGTAACATGTTCCTCAAATTCTCCAAATCCAAAGCAAGAGAGATGATTGAGAAAGGTAACCTTTTTTTTGTTTGTTTTAGTAAAAACTTTCCAAAATATGTGAAAAAAAAATTTATTAATGGAAAAGAATAAAAAAAAAATCTCTGAACTGTTTTCTTTCCTGTAGATCAGGAGCAGCTTGACAAGGAGATCAGTGATCTTCGTAGAAGCCTGAAAGCAAAAGTCAACTGTCTCAATGAGATGCAAGGTATAAATATGTGTTTGTGTATTAATATACATATTTATATAAGCAGGAGCTTCACCAGACTTTATGTCTGTCTTTCAGCTGTTTTATGTGTCTGAAGTGATCGTGCTGGGTTTTGTTTGTTCCTGTTTCCAGGAAAACCTGAGCTCAGAGGCTACGACCTGTGTCCACTGTCCACTGAAGAACTGAAAGCTATTAACAGCCTCCTGACGAGGTGACCTGCTGGCGCCACGTTTCTCTTCACAGCTCTGCCAAACAGACAGACAGATCCAAGAAATCCTACAGTGAAAGTGTTCTGATGTGGGTCTTCCAGGATTAATATTTAGCAACAGTTATCAGGGCTCCTAACCAGCCACAATCCTTGGACTGGTCCCTTTTTTAAGGCTGCTGCAGCCTTGGAGCTGAATTTAAGTGTGTATGTTTTGAGTTTATTGGTTAGAACCTCTTTTTATTCCCCACATTTTGTTTAAAAACAGAACTAATAAAAGAGTTTCTGGGTTTCCACGTCCATCTTTAGACCACGGATTTTCCTCAAAAATGTCTGACCTTGGAAAAAAAAAACAGTGAAAGTTTATCGAGTTTGGCTATTTCTGGGAAACAACTGCTTCCCGTATGGCTGTGCCCTCTGTTGAGCTTATGCATTTTACATTTCGCTAACGCTTGCCCTTGACATTTGTAAGGCGCCAACTCAATGAAGCTTATCAGAAATTGGCTCTCATTAAAAACTCGTCATGCTTTGTTTTAGATAGAAAGATTGGCATTTTTTGTTTTTGTTTCTCCAACCTTGCTGTAGCTTTAAGATAATAAACCTTTAATGCCTGAATAAGTTGAATGCCAGGGTTAAGTGGTTGGAAGTTGGCCAAAAGACTCCACCTCGTTACACATGTACCCACTGGCTGCCAGTCAGGAGCTTCTTTGTACAACTTTCAGCTGCAGGACTCAAAGCGTCTGAGCACAACTACCCTTGCATTTTAAAAAATGTCATAGTAAAATTATTGGGGTAAAACCTTTTGACCACGTTTGTGAAGACAGACAAATGTGTTGGTGCTCTGGTAAGATGCGTAAAAGCTAGAAATATATTCAGTTTTTTTATTTTATTTATTGCATCAGCGTTATGTCACACTGACAAATTGGAAAAACACACATTTCCGTTGTGTGTGTTTTGTCTTCCCATGTGAAGAAATAATTTTGCCCAGGAGGGGGCAGTGCAGGTGTTCACCTCTCCCTCGTCGTTTGAAAACAAGTTTCATTTGACAGAAAAACTAAAGTCAAAACTTTTTTTTTTTTAGCATTATCTAACTTTGCATTATAAAGCTGTGTTACGTTATATTGATGAGAAACAATGGATTGTTTTTATTTCATGAGACACAGCACACACGCTCCTCCAGGCAGGTCCTGATATGGTGTGTTGTCCTTTGGGGGAGGGAGCAGATTAATACAAGTACTGCAGCATTTGACTTGATGACACAAACACCCTCAGGCATCGAGACGAGGGAAGGGCTGATGACACAGGAGTACATAAGGTGTGTGTGTGTGTGTGTGTGTGTGAGAGAGAGAAAGAGAGAGAAAGGAAGTGTTTTTCAGCTTTCGCTCTCGACAGACTTTGGTTGCGTGCCACAGTTCTCAGAACTGAAACCAGGCCGTTGTGATGAGTTTGTGAGTCAAACGGTGGGAACCTGCCGATCGTCTCAAAAGTCAGACCAGTTCCACACAAGACACTCAACATCATGTTCCTTTTACTGATGACTTACGCTGCAGGCATCTTGTTTACCTCTGACAAACTGGAGGACTGAAGAGCCAACAATAATGGTGATGTGGACTTGCTGAACGCAGAGTGAGGCTGTGTGGAAGGCCGGAACTGGACCCAGAAAGCTGTGATGCTACTGACAGACTAACAAGCAGTAAGAAGCACATCCAGCAGCTGTCAGTCTCTGGGTGGGAACTTCAATTTATCTGTCTTTTAGCTCAGGATGATGAACGTGCACATGTGGCAACCGCTCCTTCCTGCTGGGAGACTCAAACTGTGTAATGGCTTTCAAGAGAAGCGATCCCATTTCGTTGTCACTCCCGTGTCACGGAAGAGCAGAGTTTAGGGAGTGATTTATCAGGGCTGACTGGCTGTGTGTGGTAACCTCACAGTGGTAGTAGGAGTCAAACAGAAGGAGGGGATTTTGAACGTGGAGTAGGTGACTGTGTTCGACTGCGCTGCATTCCTCATGTTTTCTTGTGGATCTTTGCAGCGCGACGCGATGGATTGGCAACTTTTCCACAGCCCGACGCCGTATGGACACTTGGTTTAAAAGATAAGAACTCCCTCTGGCGTGGAACAAACATCTGAGTCCTTAATTTTAAAATGTTCAGAGTAATTTTCCTGCACACCCCAGATACAGAGAGGTGAAGGCGAGTGCAGATGTGTGATACAGCTGCACCATCTTTCATCCAAAGTTTGTTCTGTTTTTCAAATGAGGTGCAGAAACAGATGTCAAACAGGAAACAGCCTTAACCTGAAGGACACTGCTATATTCAAATAGACATACTCACATAAAGTTGTGACACCCCAAGGCCTTCAGCCACAAAGTAGCCATATGAAATGTTTCAATACGAACAACAAATAAATGAGTAAAGGTAAAGAGTGTAGTGAAGAATGGCTGCAGGGCCTTGTGTTATTTATGAAACTGTTTTAGCTCGTGCCATCTCTCCCAGGATTGATTCTGACAGCATCAGCTTAATGTGGAGGAGATCAAATGAAGCCGACGATACCAACACGGAGGACAGCAGGTCCAGCAGCTGGTAAACATTAAGTCGGCTAATGTCAGGTATGCTTCCTGGAAGAAAGATGTACAGGGAAGCTAACTGATGAGGTAAGATGTTCTTCAGGTGGTCGACGTCACTTTGTGATGTCTTACTTTCACGATGTGGTTATTTGTTTGGAAAAAAAAAATGAAAGAAATATAGAGGAGTCATTAAAAGTTCAGTCAAACCCTTTTTCCATATGTAGTTTCCTTTTTACATTAGTAGCAAACATTAGGCCACTTTTATTAACATATAATCTTTCCTAATAATTATGTTCTGGTGCGTAGAGCAAATATTTTAGCACACTTGAAATAAAACAAAACTTACACGTAATTTTTCAGCAATATATAGGTGATTGTTTTAAGTCAATAATTCCATAATATTGCCGAATAATTTTTAGTTCCATTGGCAGATTATTTCACTTATAACGAGAAATTCAGGTTCGGATTTAGGAGCAAGGTGTGAAATAAATTCAGGTTAGGTTTATACATGTACTAGTACTGGTTAGGTTTAAGGTTGGGATCAGGCGTTAGCAAGAAAATAAAAAAAACGTGACTGGAAGTCAATCCAAAGTCCCTGTGAAAATGGACTTGTGCACTCGTGTGTGTGTGCATATGTGTGTGCACTATGTAGTGAGAATAAATGAACAAATGATAAACTGAAATGATCAGATATCGGAAAATGAACGATAAAGAAATGACAAAAGCGAAGACGTGAGCGAAACTAAAGCCCAAACACGTCCGGCTCATAAGAAGAAGTCTGGTTTGACTCATCGGCTGGCTGGGTTTGTTGTGTTCATGAACACAGAATAATGAAGCTGCTTAACTAGATGGATGGATGTTACCAGTAAATCATTCTGAAAGACATGATGGGACACGCAGAGTAAGTAGAACAATTTTATTGTTTTCCTCAGCTTTAATTGGAAGGTGTTCTTCGAGAGGAAGCCGCTTCTTCTGCTTCCTGTCAGACGGAAGAAGGAACCAACACTGACCCTCCAGCTCATCTCTGCTGCTTATGGACGAGACCTGGTGAAAAAGTTGGGGCATCTGCAATCACTTTCTGCTGAGAAAACCACAGAAAGAACACTTCTCCTTAAAATGAATGATTTTTCTATTCAGTCTGTAACATTTGGTATTTTACCAAGAAACTGATCTTTCTTTTTTACAGTGTAGAAACAACCCAAAACCATTAGACTGGAATGATCAGTTCATTAATCATTACAGAGTCAGTTGTTTTTTTTAATAAGCCCATAATGTACAGTGAAGGCTAACAGCTTGGCAGTGACACCAACGTTGTGTTAGCTTTGGACTTCCTGGTTCCTGTACAATTACATCAAGTTGCTACAAACAGCTTTATTAGTGTAAAACGTTTACATTGCAGCTAAGTTATGAAAAAAAAAGACAACCATGACATTTTTTAGCTAACTTCATGTCAGCATAATCATGCAAATTACTAGTTTTATTAGTAGCTATTCATATCCAAACACCACATATATATTTACATATCTCTATACTTTTGACACCAGGTAACAGTGACCACATCCTCTGCTTCTTCAGTTCAACATCAGCCGCTCTCATCGGATCCATGCAGACATGTTAATAAATGACTGTTATCAGGCCACTGATAACAGTCACTGATGTGACCTGATAACAATGTTGATGCTAATATTTTGTGGATCCCTAGTAATAATTTAAATTGTCATGTATTTCCAAGGATTTTAAAGTCTTTTTTTTTTCTTGTTGACTTGCAGAATTCTATCTTAAGTTTGCTATTTAATCATTGTTTCTAGCCACAATATATTTAGCAGGTATTAATAAGCAGTAGATAAAACTGAACTATTTGGAAATTATTTATCTGTTAATCAGGCTTTTGAATGCGAGAAGAATCCTAAATACTGTAATTTTGGTTCAAACTGATTCTTTGTGCTTAAATGTAGCTTAAATATTTTGCTCCTTTTGAGGATGACAAAACAAACTTTTACCACCGTCTCCTCCATCAGCTTCGTAGAATTTGTTTCACAATAATGCTTCTGTTAATAATTCTCACTATATGAGAAGAGTAGAAAACATATTTTTATAAACATGTAATAACTGTACAATCTGTTTTTTTTGTGTGTGTTTCTCTGAGTTAAACTTTTGAAGGGATTTTTTTTTTATTCCACTCTCTTTAATAATCTAACGGTATGGGCCCAAGTTTACAGTGGGGAGGCTTTTTATATTTTGAAGATTACATCCTACTGTGTAGTAAAACCAAATCCAGCTTTGAGTCCCATACGGAAGATTTTGAAATAAGCAGCTGTTGCCGGGGAAAAAGATGGGGGTCAAGTTCGGGTCTGGAATTTTCAAGAAGCCTCCAAAAAGACAAATCAAAACTATTTTGACTGTCGAGGTCTATCCTGAAAATTTAGCTGACCCTGGAGTCGTGACACATTTCTCCACTATGCAGCCACACCTGCACAAACAGGAGCTTTATGGAGCCTTCATCAGAAGGCCATGTCAGAAACAAAAAGACTCCAAGTGAACTAAATCTCCCAATTTTGGGTGGAAGAATAAAAGTTCAACTATAGGTAGAGGGGGAAAATGTCAAATTTGCATAGCACATTTGGAAAAATAAAAATAAAACCAGTAAAACAGAACATTTTACTACTTTTTGAGGTCATTTATGGAGGTTTAAAGCTTCAATTCTCTAAGAAATAAATAAAAAATATATTTTTAACTTAATATCAGTTATCTAGGTAAGCTGACAATTCACATTAAAATCTCTTTCAAGGCGGACTTTGGCACAAAAACAGAATATTGAAAGTTAATTCATTTACAATAAAAATATACAATGGAAATTAATGACTATTTTCAGGAAACATATCAGGAAAAGGTGTAGAAATCAAACATATGGAAACGGAAAAAAAAAGAAGAGTGAAAACTGAATATCAATCATATGATAATGAAAAGAAGAAACGTCTGAACTCAGACATGGCTTTGTTTTATTCTGAGGTTCTATTTTTTTCATCTGTTTATTTTTTCAGATCAGTTTTTTCTCAGTGATCCACTCAAAGGCTTCAATAGAAGCTCACATCCAAAACCGCTTAGAGTGAAGCTTTTGTTTGGCCTTCATTTTGTTGAGTTTTAAAGCTTCTCCTCTGGATCTGATTCCCAGTCAAACTTAATCAGAAAGCTGAGAGCTGACTCTGGAAGGAGCTGCTGGCTCCTGCAGGGTCGACCTCTCACAGTGCATCCCTACTGGAATCACCAGAACAAAACAGGAAGACACAGACAACCAGCATCTATTAAGACCGAACGAGGACAAGAGGAATCAGACAGCATTTCAAACACAGCAAAAACTTTGTGGCAACAAAAGGTTTTGTTATGACTGACACTCTGCAGAGATTTCAGCAACCATATATGACTCAATCAGTGCCTGGTACCCCAGCCGCACGCTCAGCAATAAGCATGTTTTTAAATAATTTTTAAAACCCAGAACCCAGGTGAGCAACAAAGTCAAAGAAGGAACAAATGAAAACAAGCTGCTTTGTGTGGGCTTTTTAACGTCTTCAGGCAGTGGATCTGCTGTGGATCCCAGCTTTCCTCTGGCTTAGTCCCGCTTAATGCCGTCTTTATGATCTGCCTGGTCCCTCCTGTTGGCCTTGCTCATAAAGAGCCTTGTGGAATAACAGCCTGTCTGCTCTGTGTCCATTCGTCTGAGTAACTATGTATGGTTTTGGGCTGGTGGCAGGCGGTGGACGTTCTATGATGCATTTATTCCTGATCTCAGATCTTTTTGAGAGGACCGCAGGTCAGTGTTTCTCAAACCTTTTCAGGCTGAGGACCATTTACCCCATTTAACAAACACCACCTACCTTGAAGCTGCCCCTCACAAAAACACAACATTGTAATATATACAACCTGAAATGAACATATCAGTAACTTACCTCGTTATCTTTGTTCCTCCAACGTGAAGGGTGGCGCTGTTTCCTAAATGACTGGTTGTAATAAAACCACAAACACGTCTCCTCATAGCATTTTTTGTTACTTACAGATTCTGAAAGTGTGGAGTCCTTGATCTCCAACAATAAAAAACCACGTGGAAATAAAAAAAAAACTTATTTACTCATAAGTGTTGTGTGATTCACTAACAACCTTTTAGGGCTATTTGTAATTTGGAAGCACAATAAAATAAAAATAGACTTGACAAAGGTCGTGTTTCAGGTGGTAGAAAGCCCAACAACAATCATTTGTAGGAGACACAGACAGACTGACGTCTTGTTTCTACTCCAGCTTTGTTCTGATATATTTTAACTGCTGAACCTGCGGTGCCTTTTTGAAATTAATAAGACACTCTTATTAATCTCCATATTAAGCACACTAACCCAATAACATGCTGAGACAAAAAAAAAAAAACATTCCCAGTTGAATACTTTTCTTTCATTGGTTTTTGTATATTTATAATTTTCCTTTAATTGCACTTGGTCTCTTTAACAAAATAATGTTTTTTTCATAACGTACAAAGACTTCTTTTAGTTTATTTTTTTCTATCATCTTTTATCTACTATATTTTATGACAGTGATTTTTCTTTTTTTCCCCAGTGCAGCTTATTAAAGCCATATATTATTTTATTTTAGTTTTAGAAGAGAGCTGCAGGGGACATTTTGTTTCGCGTCATAATAAACATTCCTCAGCGTTCGCTTGGAAGAAAAGAGAGAGCTTGATCAGAGGGGAAAAGTTTGAGAATCTGCTCCATCCAGATGAGGAGCAAAATGAAAGGGCAGATTGACGGATGCATGCAGTGCCTATAAAAAAAAATATTCACCCCCTTTGATGTTTTACCTTTTCATTACTTCTGTAAATCAAACATAATCAATAGTTAGGCTTTTTTGACAGTAAAATAGCCAAAAACCTTAATGTAAGTGAAAATCAATTTCGCCAAAAATAATGTTACATAAAAATACGTAATATGAAATAAATGATTGCTTAAATATTCAGCCCCTTTGTGTCAGAATGAGTGGAACAGAGATCAGTGCAGAGCCTCCATGGAGACAGCCGTGTCTGGAAAGTCATGGAGTTTGTCTGATTGCTTGATGATCCGCGTCCCACAGCAAAAAGCTTTCAAAATATGACAAAAGGCCACTGGTAGAGTTCGTGGTCAAGTGGAAGAAAGTTCTTTGGTCCGAAGAAAACGAGATGGAGCTCAGTGTCCCTCAGATAAGACGCGATGCAAACACTGCACATCACCGCAAACACACCAACCCCTCTGTGGAGCCTGGTGGTGGCAGCATGTCGGATTCCCTACGGAGCCCAAATGACAAATGGGTCGGCTCAGCACCGAGAACACGTTGAGTCCATGCAAGAAGGCAGCCAGAATTTTCTTACCAACGGCACCACTGCATCTTTTGCAAACGAAACTCTCACATTCGCTGCTACCTGCAGTGAAAAGTCTCATTGCTTTGTTTGCTCCGTCTGTAGCGAGCAGTGAGAGGAGTCTCTAACTGTAAACCACTAAAAAGAAACAGGTACAAGGGGAAAAAAATCTTTTTATTTCTTTTTACATATTTTGTCAATTTGAGTTGTTTTAAAGGAGCTGGATGTTCTCCATTAAGAGAAGAAAACACTTGTTTTTGTCAGAAGTTGTATATGAATAATGAATCATTTTCTTGCACACTAAGCCAAACAAACAAAAAAATCCTTACTTGGAATGTAGTATTTTAATAATAATTTAAAAAAAAAGGATAGACTTGTTTTTTTTCTTTTTTTATTTTGTTTGAAGACTAAAAAAAATAATCACGGACGCATTAAGGTAAATCGCCCTCACTAACAAGGAAGGCAACTGGTCATTTCATCCTAAAAATAAAACAATGTTGAAATATCTCATCCAGTTTGAGGTGAGCACTGCCCAACAGGCCATTTGTCTAAAGGAAAGAAAAGAAAGGCATCTCCTATTTGGAAATTAAGTAAAAACAAAAGCTTGTGAAATTAATTTGTCCAGTTTCTAATGCAAAATAAAAGACAATACAAAGCCCATCTGTACAAAATAAATAGAATATACACAAAACCCCCGAACACAAAATGGAACTGATTTAATCTTCTGGTGGTGTTTACCAGACATGTGGTGACACATTTGACAAATTTGATCTTCCATGTTTCCTCCAGTTGTTCTCCGCTGATGTCACATTTTATTCAACCTTTGTCAATCCAACTGAGAAGGAGTTCTTATTTACAAGAATGACCCGAGAGGTCATGAGGTCACCAGGAAGCAGAAACATTTTCACACTGTTGAGTGAAAGGCAATCAGGTGTGTTCTCAAGCTCATCTTGCATTGCTTTGGTGTGGAGCGTACCGTCGACAAATCATTTTTTCAGTCGTGGCCCTTAACACAAAGCAATATATATATATAAAAAAACTCCTGTTTGAGAGAAACGGTTACCACTGACTATGAGTTGGATCATATTAATATGGATACGACACCATGACAACCTGTTCTTTACAAAACCAGGTTCTCTGAGACAGACGATGTCAGCAGGAATCACCACATGTCATTTTATATGTACTTAATGTGTGTTTGGTTCTAAATGCCTTAAAGCCTCCTGAAAACACATTTATTGAAAACAATACTCTGGTTATAAGTGAAAATGAATTGCTGACGATCGCCCCCGCCCCTGTTCTTCTACGGGGGGCGTACGGATGTACACATACGGATGTATGTGAAAGCATGTGTTATGTTTATGAAGGCATAAACATAACACATGCTTTCACATACATCCGTAAGATAAAGACATTACATGCGACATCCTGGAATGATGAGCCGTGTGAAACACAGTTACAGGTGGATAAATCAAACTCCACTGGTGTGACACAGTGCAGCCAGAGAGAAAGAGAGAGAGGCAGAAGGGACAGAAACCCCTGCTAGAAACTCTCACTGTCAGTTTTTTTCCTCTGCGTCCATGTCCTCACCTTTCCGTCTACACGGCACCGACAGATTTTCTCCCGTCCTTTGAGACTAAAGGTCGGTCTGTTCATTTCAGAGTCCGCTCCTTGTCTCCTCTGTGGAAGGGGGGCGTCCCCTTTTTTGTGTTAGGTGTAGCAGGGGGTCTCCTCATCTGCCTGAAGTGAAACAAAATACATTTAGAGGCGCATCTTGTCTGTCTTTTATTTCACAGTATGTGCACCCGCCTTCTTCATTGCATCAGCCTACACAGTGGAAGCAGGCCTGCCAGTCAGGTGAAAGTATATAGTATAGTATGTAGTTCCAGTTACCTGTTTGTGCAGAAGCGGCTGCACTCAGAGTCCATATGCAGCGTGCATGCACATCGCCTGGAGGCTGCGCTGCTCCTGCTGCTCCGAGCCGTCCGGACGGAGCGCTTCGTACGCAAAGAGCCAGGGGAACTGGCCATGCCGTACGGGACCGTGTGCCTGCCAATGGAATCAGTGAACATTTCTATGTCAACAAGTGTCTTTGTGCAGGGGTCCTTTCTGATATGAGTGACATGGGCAACCGCCCAGGTCGGCATTTTGTGTGGGGCGGAATGAGCTCCTGTGTGACCCTGACCTCCCTAACTTAAGACTAAAAACACAGACAGACAGAGATTTACTGCGAATGAAAACCTGGAACACAAGCTCTCGTCTTCTCATTGTTCGTTTTGGTCCATCAGAGACTGTGAGGAGGTTAGTGCGTTGAGCACAGCGTAGTTTCCACTATTTGCTGACATTTTTGGGATAGTTTTTAAAAACTGATGTTTTTTTCAGGGGCACACTGATTTATAACCGCTGATTTCCTTCATTTTGGGAGATCGATGATCGGCCGGTACTTCCACGTGAAGCCGATCTTATCCTCCGATCTTATCGACCTCAGCGAAGGTCTAAAAATGAACCGCTGTCCTCTTCGCCATCCACCAGGTCATGTTTGCATGTCTCAGTTAACAATAGTCACCTCACTGTTTCAGACTCAGTCACCATATTTAGTGACATTTCAGATGAAAAAAAAATAAAAAATTGGCCAAAATCAGAATCGGCAGGTTGGTCTTTTTAAAGATCGATAATCTGTAATCGCGCAGAAAAGTGCAACCGGTTCACGGCTAATTGTTTCTGCTGGCAGCCGATCAGAGATTGGCTGACCTGAATTATGAGGTGGTTCAAAAACAACGTTCACTGGTCAAAACTGCTTTGGTAAATGGAGATGTGCCAAAAGAGCATCTGTTTCCTGGGCAACGGACACAGATAACCTGTGATTAAACAGCATTGTTCACTTGAGGGAGGATGATTAACTGAATCATACGTTTACAGTGACATAGTAATGAGATGCTTATACGCTGACGCTCAGGTCGTAAAAACTCAAACAGGTTCTTTACCTTTTTTTAGGCTCTTAATAGTTTTGCTGGTTCTGATGGCAGCGTGACAGAACATCCTATAATCACACTACAGCGCACCATAAAACCCGACCTCTTCGACTCAACATGACATTCCTAACAAGGACGCGTCATAAACGCTGCTCTGTCAGGCCCAGAATCATTTATACGTCTGGCAGATTCCCGTGTTGAATGGAGATTATACAGAAAAGATCATGAAGAATGTAAAAATCTTTTTTTTTTATTTTAATAATGACATTTGATCTATTTTTAGCTTTTTTTTTTATACCATTCTCGATTATTAGTGCCAGTACAGCAATCAAGCAGTAAGCAAGTAAAGTCAAAACCTTCCTATTAGAGGTGCATCAACAGCAGTTTTCTGGCTGATTGCCGATTCCAATTTTTGGCCGATACCGATTTTTTTGGACTGACCCAAAAAATCATGGATCATTTACATGAGTCCAGCAAACAATTCTGGGACTTCTGTGATTTATTAAGGTGGACCGAAAGAATCCCTTTCATCTGTCTCCGAGAAACAGCAGTAATAGTGTCGATAAAAGCTGCGGTCACCTGCTGCTGGTATGCAATATTTATAAGAACTTCTTGGCACCTGAGCCGACTGTCTGACCGGTCGGGGTGGGGGCTGACACTCTCTCTTTAAAGCTCTGTCAATAGTTGTTCGCATGAAAGCGGTTCCAATAAAAGACTAAAACCAACAGCCACAGAGAAGAGTTGCAGTGTCAGTTTGTTCGGAAATTTCAGAGGAGTAAACTTTTTCACCATGTAACACAAAAAGAGATGAACAATGAAGAGGTGTGAGGTCAGAAGGTTAACTAACCGCTCACAGCTGCATGTACTTCAGGAGCTCTTCCCTCAGGGACGTAAAAGCACAGGTAATTTATTCTACTCTTCCCAGATATGTTCACCTTCTCACACCCTCCCATGTGTGCTGTGCGTCTTGAGCTGCAGCTGTTCCATCGTCAGGCAGAGCAGAGAAATGCCGGTGATAGATGTGCGGGAGAGCAGCGCCGCACGGACTGCAGGAAACAGTCGGCCTCTCGTCTGACTCACGTCTTCTCCGGAAGAAAATAGAGCAGGAAGTTTTCCTTCACGTACATAAAGCTGAGTTGGCCTGATGGACAATAATTAAGGGTTCCGCCAATTTATTGGCTCCAATTTCCTCCATTTTAGGATATCTGTGATCGGCCAGTGAGTTCATGTGAAGCCGATCTCATCTACCTCAACAAAGGTCTAAATATCAACGACTGTCCTCTTCTGCTCTGCTGTGAGAGAGGTTCCACTGGTGGACCGGCCCAACCAGGTCATGTCTGCATGTTTGCAGACTATATTATATAATATCACTATATTTAGTGATATTTCAAACAAACAAACAAAAAAATTGGTATCAGAAGGTTTAAAGATCGGTAATCGAGAGAAAAACTACAATCAAGGTATCAGACTGTTCAACATGCACTAAAGAGACAGTTTGGTCAAATCCTGGGCTCTAAAGCAAGAGAAATACTGAAGATGCATCATCATCATCATCATCATCATCATCTCATCATCATCATCATCATCTGTGTTGCTCCCCGTCTGGATGTGAAAGCCTGAAGACGCTACTGGATATGAAAAACTACACTGGTCTTGGCTTGGTGGTCTCACTTCGGTCCAAACTGACAGGAGACGGATGAGTCCATGTCACCACCCTTTCTCTCCTCCACCTTCCACCCAAACCCACGCCCAGACGTCTGAAGTGAGAAAGACCTACTCCAGCGATGCCTCTGGTTTCTATTTAACGCTGGCAGCACAAAAGAAAAAAAAAAAAGGAAACGAAAACAAGTGGTGGAAACAGAAAAAGGGTCCGATCCATCCGAGAACCTGAAGGCTCTCAGGGAAAAAAGCCAGGAAGTTGGGAGAGAGGTCATAGAGCCTTCCAGATGACACAGATCAGGCTTTAAAGTTTTCTGTCAACTCTTGTTGCTTTTGCCATGGATCCACAGATGAAAACCACAGAGGCTTCTTTGTTGGTCTAAACCAATGAAAAGTTAGCATTGGTTTAGATTTAACATGGATGCAATAAAGATTTGTGTTTAACTGACGTGTAATTAATCACACAGCATGTGGGTTTTCTTTTTCGTGAAAGAGTGAATCGCTGGATGTAGCGTAAAGCGCTTTGGGGTGTTCAAACTTGATAAAGCAAAATACAAGTACAATCTGATTACCATTTAGTGGGCTGAAGATCAAAACGCAGAGTGTCTATAAAAAGTTTACCCAGAAAAAGAACAGAAGAATCATGAATCACGAGTCGGAAAGGTCAGGAATCCTCAGGTAAAGCTGACGGATCCACGGGAACAACGACCTCTCCTACCAGATCCAGAAGAATTTCTGCAGAGATTCACTGGACGAGATTTAGCTCCTGAGCCCGGCCCACGCTCAAACGGCCTAGGTTTTCCCATTTTTCCTCCAAATATTACAGAGCCCCCTCCTCCCCGGGGGGCATTCTTTTTTTTTTTTTGCGTTCTCGTGCAATAAATTAGCAAACACACACTGGCCTGTTTTGTGTACAGTCACAAATGTCAATTTAAAATGGCACATGAGTACACCTTTAAAGATCCTTAGTGAGAACATGTTTAATACATTCCTCACTCTTTGGTCCAAGAAAGCATGACGGAAAATACAAATTATCGGCAGATTATTTCACTTATGAGACATTTTTCCCATGTTCTAAGTAAAATAATCTGCCAGTGGAACTAGCACTTTTCCATCACTGTTACGGATTCATTTACTTCCAAGTTATTTTTGCCCTATTTCAAGTGTACTACGACATTTGCACTAGAAACTGGACCAAAATGACTCGGTAGGCTCTTGTGTGTTTGCCGTGAGCTGCTGGTCAGATGGGAAACTTCAGACTCTTACTCTGGCGTGTTGATCCAGATGATGTCCAGGTGGCAGTAATACACACACTCTTTGTCTTTATAGGTGTAACACGTGCACCTCTTGGTGCGCCCCCGCCTGCCGGTCAGCGGGTCATGGGCAGAGCGGTCCTGGGCTCCAGCACCAGAGGGGACGATGACCCGGCGCGGGGGGTCGCCCAGGCTGACCTCTCCTGACACGTCCTTCCTTTGGGTCACAGACGAAGAACCTGCAGGACGACACCAAAGGTACGTTTGGTGGTTTTTGTCATGATGTGAGGTTTCTGATGGCGGATCCAAATGAAACGACAAATAAATGGAGGATGTTTAATGACAAAATGATGGACATTTGCCATTAAACAAGTCCGGTTGTAATAAAAGATGAAAAAAATAAAAATAAACAGCCAACCATAACATCATCTACTGATTAGTTCCAACTGAACCAGCATTGTTTTTGTTCTTTCATTATCACTCTGTGAGTTTATAATAATAATAATAATAATAATAATAATAATAATAATAATAATAATAATAATAATAATATAATATCTTACCATTGGTTAAAGATGCCGTCACCACAATCACGAACAAAATTCCCACGCGAGCCGACGGACGGTCAGCCATCACTAAAGAAGCAACAGAAACTGAAAGAATGTGGAGAGGTCAAAGGTCGTGGAGGTCCCGACGCGCGGACTGCAGGCTGCTGCTCCCCCAGATGCGTCAACCTGTGACCGGCCTGGTGATCCGCTGCCGCCGCTCTGTTCGCCTCCGGCCTGCGAGGCTCCGCTTTATGAGCTGCTGCGACAAGCTGCCGGAGGATCAGCCGCGCTTCCTGCCGGGACTTTCAAAATAAGACCGTCTCCGGGAAGACAAGCAAGCGAGCGAACAAATAACTTTAAAAACAAACTAAAAAAGTACATAAAACCACATTATCATTTAAAGAGACGCTCCTCAAATTGCTGCAAGTTGTGAAAGTCATTTGTTTTTTATGTGGATTTTTTTTATACCAATACTCCGTTGTTTAAATGTTAAGATTAATTTTAAAGGCGTGCTCCGGTTTGGATGACAGGATTTCACAGGTTTGCTAGCAAATGACTATATCTAAATTATACTGCTACTTTCTGCAAAAACACTAAATCTTACCAGTACTTCTGATCTAGCTTGTAGTGGAAATATATTACACTTTAAATAAGACAAAACAAACTTATAAGCAATTTTTCAGCAAGATATGGGAGCTTGTTTTAAGTCAATAATTCCAAAATATTGATAAAAAAAAAGTGTTAGTTCCATTGGCAGATTATTTCATTGATAACATGGGAAAAATGTCTTGTTACAAGTAAAATTATCTGACATTAGAACTAGTACTTGTTGATCAATATTAATAAATTATTTACTTAACATAAGTTTTTAAATATTGCTGAAAAGTTATTTCAAAGTTAGTTTTGTCTTATTTCAAGTATAATAGGAAACGTGCACTAAAAACTAGAGCAAAAATGATTTAGTGTTTTTGCAGTGCACTGACTGGAACGTTAATTCGTTTAAGGAGTTTTGTTTTGAGGTTGTTGTTGTTGTAAGTGTTTACATGACTCCCAGAGGTTTTTTTGGTGCATTTTTCTCACGTCAGACATTTTGGTAACATTTTGATAACTTGTGAAAGAGAGTCACCTGCTCAAAGCATGCATCAAAAGCAAGCATTCATTCATGTCAGAGTCATCAAAATGTTTAGTCTTGACATCATGTCTTCATCACGATGGTTCCCTCCGGACATGGTTTTGAATGTACAAAAGGTCAGATCTTAGTGAAAGTGTCTGAAAATGCTCAAGATGGGGCTACACAGTATTTACTCAGACATCCGAAATCTGAACATAGCTGGAAACAATATTTCAGTACAAATTGGAGCTGAACTAAGGGACCCCCTATGGACAGCTCACCACTGGATAAATATCTCTTCTTCCATTTCTCCTTTATTGGTGAGAGCTGAGGTTTAGCTGACAGAAACTGTTATGTTTGGGAGACATTTTCAGAATTAAAGAAATGCATAGACAACCTGTTCACCATGTCTGCATCCACTGACTCAACCAATAATACGAGGAACTATTTCTACCGTGTGGCATTTTGACTCAGTGTTTCAGAAGTTAACCTGTTTGTGTTTGGGCTCTGAAGAGCAGCTGGACGGTTTTAGGATCTGCAACAAGCAACCATCAGTGGTGTTGCACTCAAAGTGCCTTCGAAGCTCCTCTTTTTTATTTACTGTAGACTGTTCAATATCCCACCCACTCTCCCGGGAATGATGTTGTTTTATGTCTTTGGGAACCAAAGTTATGCAGCATTTATCATTGTATTCTAACCCAAAAGGCCTACGGCGTCTCCACCACCACGTAATTAATCAACACAGAAAGAACAGGCTGATTTGGGCGCAGTTTGGTTCACTTCTGCAAACCACTGTCGAGTACGTCAGCAACTCTGTGCTGGCATGTTTGAAACGGGCATCACCAATGACGTACACCGATAACCAATAACTAAAAGACGAATTCAGGCAAAGGAATAAAATATATTCAATTGAGAGTTGAGCAAAGGGCTATCAGTCAGATCACAGTTTGTCCTTCAGCCAGACAAAGTTCAAAGACAGTGGATTCTTCGTAGATGCATCACCATCCACAATAGATGAAATATTGTGGGGTTTTTTGTTTGTTTGTTTTTTTATAATCGAGCTGCAGACGTTATTCTGATAATATTTTATATTTGATGTTTTGTTGTGTGAGAAGACATTTCTCACACAACAATACCCAACCCTGCTGACTTTTTGTTGCAGGTACTTCTATTTTGGTTCTGCTCTGGCTCCCTGCGTTCTCATTTTGTTTTATTTCTTCATAAGTTTTCTTTGCTGCTTGGACTCTTTATTTAAAAGAAAAAAAAAGTAAAAATTTTCATCATATTGACCCAGACTCCAACTTGCACCTCGGTCCATCATCCACACTCAAATAATGACCAAACACATGGTTCCTTTGCATCATACAGAGATGATTTTGATGATGATGTTTAAGAAAATGCAATGTTTTTGTTTTATGTTTTCATTGTGGAAAGCACCCTGTTGCTGAAATCTGCTGAACATTTAAAGGCACACTGCTTTGCCTCGCCCTTGAATTTGTTAGGGGTGAAAAAACTATGTAATTCTTTCAACTAGTATTTCACATTACATGGAAGTCTTCCCGATTGTGAGTCCCTCTTTTTGTGAGGTTTGGATTTTTCTGTGTGCTTGTTTAGGTTTCTGTGTTCGGTTTTGTCTCCATGTTGTCCCCAGCTGTCCCTCGTTTCCCCTGACGACCTTCCTTGTGATTTTAATCCCGCCTGTGTTCCTTGCTCCTTGTCGAATTCTCGTCTGTTCTGTTGTACATTGTATCTCTGCCGGTGCTACCAGTGTGTAAGTCATCGCCTCTGCTCGCCTGTGCTGCCTGGATTGTGATTTTGTGACTCATCATTGAAAATCCGTTTTCTCACTTCAACCTGGGTCCACCTCACCACTTCACCCCTGTAACTTCTTACACTTTTTGTGTAAAATGCAGGAGAGCTGTTTCAGACGTTGAATGAATGAATGAATCTGTTGCGAAAGCACCGTGTCAGTAAAGCCAGTAGTGCAGAGCTTGACTGTGGCTGCTGTTCGAGGGAATGTGGTCGATGATCCCTGCTTTCTTTCATTAAGATCATTTCAGGATCTGAATTATGTTGGGAACTTTCCAACTCCCAGCTGGAGCTTCTTTTTTTTTTTTTTACCTCTGTGATCTGTCATTTGGTCATCCAGAGTTCCCACATGTGTTTCATGTAACCTCCCTTCTTTGGTCATAAAAATTCTTGGCCTGGGATAAATACTTGTTTTATGTGAAACAAAGTAATTGTTAGTTACGAGAGAATTTATGCCACTTGGATGTAACTTAATTCATGTAATGATAAGAAATGTTATTTCCATACAAGTTATTTGTTTCTCCTTTCCTGAATTGAAGGCCTCGCTTCTGAACATAATAGTTTGGTATATTAAACCACCTTTTGTCAGTGTAACTATATACAATGCAATAGACAATCATAATTTTAATGTAGGTGCATTGGTTAACATATCTCACAGCATGACGATTTGAATCATTTTTGCATGAAAATTTGACCACTAATGGGAAAGTTTACAAGAGGTCATGTAAAGGCTTTCAGAAAGTTCACCCAAAGTCCCAACCCAAATGAAAACGTGACCTTATTTAAAAACCAGGTCTGGCCAGTTTGGATGAATTTTTCCAATTCCACCAATAAAAGTGGCCAAATGTGGAGTCAGAATTATGCTGGAAATCCAACATGCTGAGATGTAGATCTGGTGCCCTGTCTGCATTACTGATGCTGTATGAATAATTTTGGCTCTGTGTGAACTGAAGAAATCCACAGTAAATTCAAACTCCATCCATTGAATCCCTACTCTAGTCCTGAATTCAGCAGTTCCAAATACTCACTGAAAACCTAAAGTTAAGATCGAGTGATCTGAAACGCATTCAAACTTCAGGAACCAAAACAAAACACTTCAAAAACAAGACCTGTTTACCGGGCTGATGTCTTACTGTTTCTACCATGTTGCATATGATAATGACCTTTGTTAACATTTGGAATAAAACAAGCCTAAGCAGATGCTGGTGATGAAGCAGATTTCTCCCCTAAATTCCCCCGTCAGGTGCAAAATGTTTTATGACAACTGATAGAGGGGGAAAAAAAAGCAGAGGAATACGAGCAAAAGCTGTGACCCGTCTTTAGGAATGTTACACATGCACACACTTCCTGTTGTTAGTGGTTTTATTTTACCTGCTGACTCATTCCAAGACTGACACTTGGACAGGGACCCAAGGCCCTCCAGCCACCTTCTTCTTCTCTGGCTGGCAGTAAAGATTAACTTCGCAGATATTTGGCAGCATGCGGACATGATTCACACAAGCAGGTGTTGTCTGGGACTGTAATAGAATTCACTAATAAGTGGGTGTCACTGTGGGAAGGTAGAGACAGATTGATTTTATAGGTGCTGGGCGTGTGTGGAGTGTGTGGGCAGAGGTAAAGTCAGTGGGTTGAGGTAGCAAAGGGGATACATCTTGATTTCAAAGAGACATGCGATCATTTCTAGTCCAAATAAGTGAAGCTGATCTGAAATAAACCTATTCATATGTTCATAACAGAGAGTGGCTGCATATTCAGAGGCTTGATTACAGTTTTATTGTCTGCCTCTATAGCTTTACCAACATAATTTGTACTTGTCAGATGAAAACTAGCCTATCTATTAAGTTTAATTGCAATTAATATCTGAGTTAAGTACACAATTTGATTCTCATCTCCCTTCAGGCCTCCATCTGGGATTTCTCAAATTGAGCTTGATTTCTTGGATTAATTTTCAACCAAGCAAATGAGCGAACAATGAGGAGGAGTGAACAATGACTCTGCTGTTTTTAGAACTGCAGTATGGGGGCTTCAAACATGTCAACATGTTAATCTGAAGTTAACATGTTGCCAACTCAGTGACTTTCTTGCTATATTTAGCGACATTTCAGGCAAAAAGAAATTGGTATCAGCCAAAATCGGAATTGGCAGATCAGGCTTTAAAATATCGGTAATCAGCCAGTAAACTACATTCTACTACATCCCGTATTTGTTTTGCATATCTAGTAAAACGTCAGCGTGTGAATGTGTGTGAACGGGTTAATGACTGAATGTAGAGTGAATCGCTTTGGGGT